TTTTGGGAGCGGGGGGTCCCTCGCCCTGCCCCAAACCCAGCCCCCGTTGGGGGTGGGCAGTGCCTGGGGGTGTCCCGTGGGTGCTGGCAGGGAGTGCCCCGTGCACACCCAGCGCTGTGGGTTAATTTTAAAGGTGTTTCCTGCGCCGGGATAAGTCGGGTGCTGCGTCCTCCCTGGGAAGGGTGAGATGTGCATGGCAGGGGTGGGGGCACCAACCCCCCCTCCTCCTTGAAATGGAAAGGCCAGAGGCCACAATGAGGGGCTCAAGGCAGCCTGTGCCCTGTCCTGGTGGGCAGGCAGTGCTGCTCTTGCTGGCATCCAAGACTGGGCACTTGGTGCTGCTGCTGCCCAAGGGAGTGCCAGGGATCAGGAACCAAAATGTAGGGGAAGGTAAGGGATCTGGCTCCTCTGCAAAGGGGCACCCAAATCCTGGTCACACTCAGCCAGAGCTATGGGGCTGTGCAGTGGGGCTGGGGGATGATAGGGCTGACTGGGGAGCTGGGAGGATGCCCAGGAGCTGCTGGGGACGGGCTGGAGGGGGGTGCGGGAGGTCCCTGTGTCGAGCCCCTCACACCTCACTCTGCCTCCACAGATGAACATGGACTCCAATGAGGTGCTGCCCCGCCACTTCGACGCAGCTGAGAAGTGGCCCGGGATGATCCACGAGCCCTTGGACCAGGGCAACTGTGCTGGGTCCTGGGCCTTCTCCACAGCAGGTGGGAGGGGACAGGATGGGATGGCTGGCAGGGACAGAGACAGAGCCCAGCACCCAGGGCTGTGGGGCTGGGGAGCAGGACCCAGGGGGTGCTGCCACTGACCTCCCTCCTTGCTTCCAGCTGTTGCCTCGGACCGCATCTCCATCCACTCCATGGGGCACATGACACCTGCCCTGTCACCCCAAAACCTGCTGTCCTGTGACACCCGCAACCAGCGGGGCTGCAGCGGGGGGCGGCTGGACGGCGCCTGGTGGTTCCTGCGCAGGCGGGGGTGAGTGGGGATGGGGGGCAGAGGCTGCTGGGGGGGGGAATAAGGGGGTTCAAGGCTGTGGTTACCTGGGGAGATCCCAGGATCCAGTACCCACGGTGCCAAGTGTGTACCCTGCCCCTAGGGCTGTCCCTTGGGCAAGAGGGGAGCCCAGGTGGAACAGGCTCCCCAGAGAGGTGGTGGAGTCTCCTTCTCTGGGGACTTCCAAGACTTGTCTGGATGCCTTTCTGAGTGATCTGCCCTGGTTTGTTGGGTTTTTTGGGTCCTGCCGTGGCAGGGGGGGGTTGGACTCGATGATCTTTGGAGGTCCCCTCCAACCCCTAATACTCTGTGATTCTGGGAGAGGTGGGGTTTTGGGGGAGGGGGTTGTTGTTTGGTTGGCGTGTTT